GAGACCATCTAGGAAGACCAGGTGCTGTAGGCGTAAAAAATTAAAAATAAATAAATAAATAAGGGATTGTAAGCTGACAAGGTCCTTGCAATCTGTGAGGTCAACCAAGGGTTGTCTTGCTTAAAAAAAAAAAAAAAAAACTGGAACCCGGGAACGAGGACTAGGAACAAAGTAGAAGTAGGACCATGAGTCAGGAAAACTGCCAAATTATGCTTTGAACTAGGAATGTGGTTGAGTTCAAGTACAGGGCAGAGCACAGCTTAGAGGTAGGAGTTGAAAGATCCAAGCTGTGGGGATTAGAGCAATGATGAAGCAGAGACATAGGGATCTTCTAACCAGAGATGGCAGGAAGCAGGATGAGGGTTTTTTATCAGGGAGTTTACTCATCATTCCCTCTTCAGGACCAGGAACTTTGTCACAGCTCCAAAGAATAGCTCTGGTCCTAGGGGTTGATCTATTATTTTGCTTTTCTTACCAGAGTCCTTCTTGATAACTCTAATAGAAACCCAGTAAAGTTAGGAACTTGTCCGTGGCATTTTTTTTTTTCCTGGGGAAAAAAAAGAGTTGTCCCAACTCTTATAGTCAATCTCCTGTATCAGTTGGGGGAAGGTTAAAGTGAGGGTCTCTGGAGAGGCCTCTGAGTAGCATTAATCTTATGATTGCCTCCCTGGAATCAAGGGGCAAGTCGTTCACAGAGGCCAACTCAGAGTATCTATTTCCGTTTCAATGTACCGTTTCCTCCGTCACTATTGAAAAGCTCAGAGTTTTCCAGAGTTTGCCTGTCCCAGGGGTCATATACTTGCAGATGGGCTGAATGTGGTCCACAGCTATTTTGTTTTAAAACAGTAATTGAAAAGTTGGAAACTTTTCACATTAAAAATATAAATATCCAGCCATTCTTCAAAAACTCTGGTGAAACTAAGTGCTCATTTCCCACATGGAAACAATTGGCTAGAACTGAGTAGCCGCCGTTCACTGAAAGCAAGTCCACTGCTCTTCAGTTCACCCAAATCCTACTGTCTCTGGACCTGGACTACTGCACCCATTAAAGCCACATGCCCCGGGGACATTTAAATTATGAGATAAAGGGCAGGAAACGTTTAACTCTGCTAAAAGTTAAAGTAGAGGTCCAGTATCATCGCAACTCAAGATCTGCCCCTCATTTTCTTATAAAGCAGAAGTTTTACCAGCCCAGCATAGTCAATTCCAAAAGAGCAATGTCATATTCAGTATCCATGGTTAAAAAGGGTGTTCCTTAAATGCACTGGCGTTTCCTCTGGTTTTTTTTTTTTATGCCTACAGCACCTAGTCTTCCTAGGTGGTCTCCCATCCAAGTACTAACCAGGCCCGACCCTGCTTAGCTTTCTAGATCAGACGGGATCAGGCTTGTTCAGGGTGGCATGGCTATAGACTGTTTCCTCTGCCTTGAACACTTGCCTGAAAATATCCACATGACTAACTCCTCGACCTTGTTCAAGTCTTTGCTGTTGTCATTTTCTCAGTGAGCCCTTCTCTGGCCACCTCACTGAAAGTGAAAATCAGCTCCCCCATTTCCTTTACCCTGTTCGCTCTTCCTCAATTTTCTATAGCACTTACCACATTTTAACGTGTCATGTAATTTGCCTTTTTATTGTTTGCTTTTTACTATATATCTCCTCCCTCTAGATTCTAAAATCTCAGAGAGAAGACATAGTTGTCTTATTTAGTGAAGAATCCCAATCAGTTAGAATACTGCCTAACAAATGGGCACTTGCTAAATATTTTCTGAATGAGTAGGTGATCAGGATTCAGGAATGGCAGTTGCTAGCTCTGGGTAAATGTTATGGATTGAATTGCGGCCCCCCAAAAGGATGTGTTGAAGTCTTAACTCCCAGTACCTCGCGATGTGACCTCATTCAGAAATAAGGTCTTTGCAGAGGTCATCAAGTTAAAATGATGTCATTAGGGTGGATCTTAATCCAGTATGACTGGTGTCCCTATAAATAAGGGAAATTTGGACATAGGTATATGCACACAGGGAAAACATCATGTGAAGATGAAGACAGATATGAGGGTGATGCATGTACAAGCCAAAGAGTGCCAAAGTTTGCCAACGAACTACCAGAATCTAGGCGAGAGGCATAGAACAGATTCTTCCTCACAGCCTTTAGAAGGAAGCAATCCTGCCTAGAACTTAATTTCAAATTTCTCCAGACTTTGAGATAATAAATTTGTTATGTTATTTAGGGTATTATGTTATAGCAGCCCTAGGAAACTAATACAATTAGTCTCTAGATTTTGGGTAAGTCTAAGTAAGGTTTGGAAACTTAATTAAATCTGGAGATGCCTGTAAACTGTAAAGTAATACGTAAATAAGGTGTAATCATTAAAGATTATGCCCTCAAGAGTTAACTGTGTCTGGGAAGGACAAGTGCTGAATTCTGCCTCACTTCTCCCTCTTTTCTCCACCCCACCCTGACGCCTCACCATCACCACCACAGAAAAACATCTGCACTAAGCAGTAAGGGAATTCCTAGCTTAGATTTCCCATGAAGGAGTCAGCTGGGCGCCATTGAGCTCCTCTTGAAGATCCTTCTCCAAGCGTGAACTGGTCCTTGCATCTTATCAACTTATCTGCTTTCAGAGGGATTAGTAATCTCTTGGCTACAGTTTTCTGTTTGAAGAGATTCTGTTCAGATAGATCGCTCATCCTCAAGGTACCTCCCCATCCCCCAAGCGAACTGGGAAATGAGGGGGTTGGCATCCTTCGACAGCTCCTGTGATCATTATGGCTCAGTAGGGTCAGTAATGACATTGGAAGTGGGAGGCCCCTGACTTTTTGTGAGAATAGTGGTGTGTGCAATTAGGGGGTCTTCCATGGGCTTTGCTATTCTTGAGGAATGAATTGAAGTTCCCTCTCTTCACTGCTTAGAGTTTGGTAAGGTGATTTAGACCACCACTCAGGCCATTTGGCTGCAAAATTACTAATAGCCTAAAAGAACAGATCATAGGCACCAGAAAGGTAAATGTGTCCTAGTACATAGGCAGAAAACTAAGACTGGGAGTTGGAGACTAGGCTGGAAAGGATTTGACACTGCGAAGGGCCAGCCATCAGAAAGAATGGAGAGAGCAGAGTAGGATCCCAGACCTGAAAGAATACGGCAGCAAGAAAGAAGCCAATTCTTGCTTATTCAAATATGACACATGAAGGAGAGGACTTGATATCAAGGAAGAAGTCAAGAACCTGGGGATATAGCTGTGGGTCAAAGTCAGAGAGAGTCTGGCAGCCACACTGACTTAGGCGTTAACTCACAGACTCTCTCCTGAGACTTTAAAATTACATTCAGTTCTAAACAGAATTCATGGCAGAGCCAATCATTTATTAAGCATATGTTAGGCAACTATGTCATGTTAAGACTTGTACGAGGCACTGTAAGGTACAGAGGTGATGGTCATTGTTTTCAAGGAGGTCATAGTTTGGTAGAGCAGAAATTAAAGATAAATCAATGACCATATAATGTATTAGGTACAATAAGAGCAGTATGACAGAAGAGGGGATTGTCTTGGTGCTTAAGAGCTCAGGCTCTGGGTCCGACACATCTGAGCTTAGGTTGTGTGATCCTAGACAAGTCGCCGAGCTTCTCCAAGCTTCAGTGTCCTTTCTTGTAAATGCAAATAATAATAGTACTTACCTACAACAAAAGTTATTATCATAATCGGGAGAAGCTAATGTCAGAAAATGTTTCCAAGAAACGTTTGAGCCGAATATTGAAAAATAAAGAGAAGCTGGCTGAGTGTGGGGTTTGGAGGATGCTGGTGAATTTAATTTGTTTTTTAATTATGCCCTGCCAGATTTCCTCAAGCAATTTTAGGTAGGATGATGAATTCAGTGTTAGATGACTGAGTGTGATTTGCCTGTGAGCAACATGAGATGTTTTCACCTCTTTATTCTAACCCTACTAAAACCCCAAATCTTATACATTTGCCCCATTAATGATTGTAACTCCATGAAATGAATATAACTATAATCTTTTTTCTATTTAATTTGAAATACTAACAATAAGGAATAACACAAAATAAAATTGATAAAGCTAAAATTGCGCCCAGTAAACTTTGTGTTGATTGAAATAGACCTTTAAGTCTTAACTCAGGAAAACTGTCCTTGATAGGGGGACCACAAAAGAAAACTTAATTTGGGTGAAATCATAATAAATAAAATTTGGTATGGACAAAAATAAGTAGTAAAACTGATTAGTAAATCAATTCTTTGGTGTAAATGTAGAAAATAATTAAATCAATTCAAAACAAAGGAATTTCAGTAAAATAAAAATTTGAATAAAACTTAACTGCACTCTATAGGCAATTAATGGAGAAATTAAACAGCTATAGTCAAGTTTACTCTAAAAGATACCTTTTGATTGAAAAGCCTTCCACATTAATATAATACTGATGAACATGTTTGCATTTATAAACACAGAATCAAAACATCCAAGGGTGAAATACAGTGAATAAAAATCTCTAGTGCTTTCCTGTGACATCCAGATGGATCGGTCAAGGAAATAGTTGGAACTCTATATCTGGAGCTTAAGAAGTTAAGGTACAAATAGAGAGCTTAAGAAGTTAGGGTACAAATAGAGATTTTGAAGTCATTATCACGTAAGTATTAATTTTTTTCTTTTTTTTGCATCTTCTGTAAAATAATGCATAGGAAAAACCTAATAGATACCTTTTGAATGTTAGATTCTCTGTAGTCAGCCCTTCAAATACTATGAACTGAGGAATCAAACCTGTAGAGTCAGTCATTTTAACTTAACACTTACTGCATATTTTACAAAAATGAACTCTCACAGCTTTGAGAAAAATCAGTGCGAAACTGATGTCCCCAAGACTTGGATCTAGACTGTACTACTAAGAAATGTACTACTTCTAGCTCATAAGATAAAATATTTTTATCTTTATATTCTTTATTTGCTGAACATTTCTTGTCCTTTTCAAAATTCTTTTTAAATTTACTTCTATAGATTTCCTCATCCTCCACTTCGCAAAGTCATGGAAGATCTAGAGGAAACATTATTGGAAGAATTTGAGAACTACTCCTATTCCCTGGAATATTACTCCCCAGAGTCTGAGTTGGAGGAGCAAGTCCCCCTCGTCGCTGTTCACTGGGTTTCTCTGGCATTATACTGTGTAGCATTTGTTCTGGGTATTCCAGGAAATGCCATTGTCATTTGGTTCACGGGTTTCAAGTGGAAGAAGACAGTTACCACTCTCTGGTTTCTAAATCTGGCCGTTGCAGATTTCATTTTTCTTCTCTTCCTGCCCTTGCATATCTCCTATGTGGCCATGAATTTCCACTGGCCCTTTGGCATCTGGTTGTGCAAGGCCAATTCCTTCATTGCCCAGTTGAACATGTTTGCCAGTGTTTTATTCCTGACCGTGATCAGCCTGGACCGCTATATCCAGTTGATCCATCCTGTCGTATCTCATCGGCACCGAACCTTAAAGAACTCCCAGATTGTCATTATATTTGTTTGGCTTTTGGCTTCTCTGATGGGTGGCCCTGCCCTATACTTCCGGGACACTGTAGAGTTCAATAATCACACTCTGTGCTATAACAATTTCCATGAGCATAATCCTGACATCACTTTGATGAGGCACCATGTTCTGACCTGGGTGAAATGTATTTTGGGGTACCTCTTCCCTTTACTAACAATGAGCATTTGCTACTTGTGTCTCATCTTCAAGGTGAAGAAGCGAAGCATCCTGGTCTCCAGTAAGTATTCCTGGACCATCCTGGCTGTGGTCATGGCCTTTTTGGTTTGCTGGACTCCTTATCACCTGTTCAGCATTTGGGAGCTCACGATTCACTACAATAGCTCTTTCCACCAGGTGCTACAGGCCGGAATCCCCCTCTCCACGGCCTTAGCATTCCTCAATAGTTGTCTGAACCCCATCCTTTATGTCCTAATTAGTAAGAAGTTCCAAGCGCGCTTTCAGGCCTCGGTTGCTGAGATACTAAAGTACACATTGTGGGAAGTCAGCTGTTCTGGCACGGCGAGCGAACAGTTCAGGAACTCTGAAACCAAGAACCCGTGTCTCCTGGAAACAGCCCAGTGAAATTACTTACTACTCTTCCACAAATCAGTTTAAGGCTTTTGTGTGGATTGCCTAACAGATGCAAATGCTTTCAGATTATTTGGTTCCAAGATACAGAGCTGACCATATCTTTTTATTGTTTTTGGTCAGTTTATTGGCATCACATTATTTTGTGGATATAAAACTTAGGAAAGAGCTTCATTTTTTCCCTCCTGCAACTTAAATTATGTGTCATTCTTGCTGATTATACCATAGTGGATTAATCAGTGCTATTGAGGCAATATCAGTTTGTACTTTTTAAATCTTAACAATACTTTAAAGTCTTAAATCTTAATATTAAATATATGACTAACTCATTTCAAAAAGGGTAAAATAAGTTTGCTTAAGCTTACTTTAATTTTGCACAGGTAATCTAATGGATCCTAAAATGTAACATATGTACTTATTTTTATTTCATGCAATCCTTGTATATAGCTTTATAAATTAAACTAATAGTTGTTTTTCTGGTAATTTAAAACATTGTTTCAGTCGACTATTACTGCTTAGTAGACTGCCCTCAAATCTAGTTGCTTAAAACAACTGTTTATTACTATATATCTCACAATTCAGAGAGTTAGGAATTCAAACAAAGCACAGAAAGGAGGTTCCTCTCTCTGCTTTACAATGTCTGGAGCCTCAGAGGGACTAGGATGACCCAAATGGCTGAGGTTTCCAACAGCTGGTGGCTGGCTGAGCAGCTCTCTTCCCTCCACTCCTCTCCTCTCCCTTCTTCTTCCTTCCTCTTCTCTCCTCTCCTGCCCCGACTCCCCCCACCCCACCCCACCCCATCCTTCTTTTCTCCGCTTTGTTCACACAGCTGTTGCAGCATGGCACCTCAGGGTAGCCAGATTTCTTGTATGGCTATTTAGGGTTCTCAGGGACCAAGGTGGGTGGCTTTAGTCCTCTTAACAGCTATGCCCAACACTGACACAGTATCACTTCCATTGGTCAAAGCAGTCACAGGCCAGCTCAGATTCAAGGAGGGGTCATAGACCCTCCCTTTCGATGGGAATATGCTCCCATATTTAATCCTTCATGATATCAATTCAAATATAAGAGTTTTGGGGAAACTCTGGATATGTGCAAGTATGTATAAGATTGCTATAAATTTAAAACACTGACATTCAGATAGTAAGATAGGTCAGCCCAATCTCAGAATGATTGCAGGATAAGGAAGCATGTATAACTTATTGATATAATTCCACCTTTTATTTTTTATAACTATCTTTATATAGACACTAGTGTAAGACCAAATAAAGCATACCTTTAAGTCAGGTATAAATCCGTTGCATTTTAGACTGTGATAATATTTTGACCTCTAGTGATTTATCCCTTTAGCCAAAAGATGAGAATCTAAGATGTAAGATGAAATCTAAGAATCTAAGAACCGTGGTAGATAGATATTGTGAGGGATGCCAAGATGCGTAAGGTATTTACAGTTTAGAAAGTGAAATTAAACTTGCCTAAAAACAACCCTATAACAAGGCACACAGTAATAATTGCCATAAGAGAGCCAAAGAAAGTGCACATTGTTCAGAGGAAAGAGACGGCATCCATTGCGGAGGTAAAGGAACACTGGAAATCTACGTCTTTGCCTTCGTGGTTCCCTAAAGATCCTGCTCCTGTCTCAAGTCTCTGCCGTCATCTTTTATGAATTCAAACTCTGCTACTCACAGCAATTTTCAAAAAATTTATTTGTTTTTTATAATTTCTCAATTTTATTTTGAAAATTGTGAGGGGAGCTGTGTTATTTCTTGAATCGATATTCTTTTTTTGTTTAATTTCTTCTTTTAGTTTTTGGAAATGCTAATCTCAGATCATTTATTGGCTGTGTTCCCAGACTTCTTGGTTTCTACCATATCCAGTATGGATGAAGGGAAGGCAGAGAGAGAAAGCTTCATTGTGAGTTCCCAACCCTTTGCGCAGCCTTTAACCCTGCCCCCTCCACCACCAGGTTTTGAGATATTTTATTCTGAGTTCCCTTTGACCCCCGAGGGGGTCAACCCAGGGACACTCCCTGGGTTCCCAGTATCAGGAGAAAAGCTGGAGGATCCAAGGTGGAAAAGAGAACTTCATGGGCTCACGCTGAGTTTGGGCAAACGGAGACTCTCAAGGCTGTGAGAGATAGAGGAAGGCAGAGGAGCAGGAAGGGGATTAAGCAGCCCAGGGCAGAAAGAAATTAATGGAGCAGGTGGTGTTCTGGAAGTTACATTTCAGGGCAGTGCTTTCTAACTCACAAAGGTGAGTTAGAAACCCATGCTGAGCCATTTATCTCATTAGGGCCTGTGAGCTTTCCAAGGGCCTATGAAAATGTTTGAGATCTTAAAAAACATTATTGGCTCTAGGATACAAAAAAGAAACTTGAAAAGTTAAAATGAATAAATACCTAATTCTATGTCTATAAAAGATGTACTTTTTGTCAACTAGTCAAATGAAGTATTTAATAATTATATAAAAACTCACATTCAATATGGGATTTCAATATGTTTCAATGTCCACTCATAAGGAGGGGAGCTTCCAAGAAGACAAGTGCTTTAAGGAAGGTCTACAAAGGTCTTAGAGGAACTTTGAATTAATCTGAAAATCTAATCAAAGTTAGGGATCCTTTCTACAGAAAATGCTTTCAAATAAAATATCAGGGAGGCCTTAGACTCCAGCCTTAAGAACTCCAGTTTCATGGCTTTTAAAATAGCTGATAGTGGGGATATGACAGGAATCCACCAGTAGAAAATAGCAACCAGTACAGGCACTTCCCAGCGGAAACAGAAATTAATTTTTTATTTTTATACGCAGTTTAAGGGAAGATCCGAGGAATAACGCGGGACACATGCTGACCCAGGATTGGAGACCCTAAGCCCCTCCCCTGGCATCTAGAATCAGGTTAGTGGGGCTCTCTAGAGGTCTAATGACCAAGAGCAGAATGAATAACTGAAAACACCAAGGGATTTGAGGCAGGACAGGCACGACAGCCACTTGGGGAGGAAGGAAGGGGGTTCAGTCCCTAATTGGCAGGAGAGTAAAGAATCCCAGACACTCAGGGACTAGGGCATAGACCCAGGAAGACAGACCTGCCTCCTCCTCAAAGAAAGGAAGGTCTTAGGAATAGAGGGCAAGTCCCAGGGCCTCAGGAGGCAGGATACCTGACTTTGAATTATGGCTCCAACACATCGTAGCTCTGTGACCTTGGCAAAATTAATTCAAATTTCTAGACCTCAGTATTCCTCAGTATTCATCTGCACAATGGGGTTACAACAGAGCTACCTGCCCCGTAAAATTATTGTGAAAATGAAATGAGTTGATGCAAGTACTGATAGGGCTTTACCCAGAGCACTTAAAGCAGCGCTCAGCCCTATAAATGCCTGACAAAAAATAGCTAGTAGTATAACATTTACTCGATGAAACTCCTGGCATGTTCTGACTTAGTAAATGTTAGCTCTCTTCCCGCTCTTGAATGAACGTAAAACTCTCATAGGAAGAATTAGGGAACTACAGAAAGAACCTGAAAACAAGACAGTTTATAAGTACTATAAAAGAATATTATGCGCTGGGAGGCTGCAAGTGGAAGAAAGGAGAAGGATAAAAGACTTCCTGAAAGAGGTAATTGACATGCATCTGGAAGAATGGCTACAATTTTAACAAAGTGCAGGTGAGGAAAGAGGTTATTTTAGGTAGATGGCACAGCAAGAGCGAATGTACAGAGGCTGGAAAAACTTGGGTTGTGTTCCGAAAAAAAGAGTAGTCCCATTTCATAGAGACAAAGTGCAGATAGAAGATTCAAAGTTGGTGTCAGGCTTCACGAGGAATGCATAGTTCTTCAATATTTTTACATATAGGCAGTAGTTCTTTTGAGGATGAATATTTAGGAGCCTATGGACCCCTTCCTTTGATTTTTACTTTCCTGAAAGCTTTTCAGGCCAAATGTGCCAAAGGACAGATTGCCATTTGGGACATTTCCTGAACCGAACTATTGTTATACAGAGTATGTAATGAGAGAATGTTTATCAGTCTCAACTTCCTTTTTAAGTTTACTCTTGTGATATTATCTTTTCATTCTCCCTAATTGAGGGTAGGAAGCAAGGGTTACACTGATGAAAAAGGATTGTCTAAATGAAGGGATGAAGAATTTTCCTCATTCTATTACCAACACCTTATCTGGCTTATGAAGACCTAGGTTTGAGTTCTTCCTCTCCCACTGGGTGAAAAATCGGGCAAGTTATCTTTCAGAGTCCAGTCTCATCTATAAATGGTGATTAACAGTATCTGCATTTTTTATCTCTTAGGCTTATAATAGAGTTCAAATTAGACGATGTACATGAGGCATGCAATTTTTTTTTTTCCTACTTTTTTATTCTAAGGAAAATAGTTGCCATTGCCAAATTGTATTTGTTTGGAAAAATATATATACGTATGTCTCAAAACACTAATGCAACTTTTTGTATTTGTCTTTATCTAGAAGCTTACTTTTGATAGTAAATCAAAATGTTGACTTACTATGTTGCTATAGGTTCCATTATTTTTTAAAATTATGTTGAGCTTGTAATATATTTCACTGAATATATATGCGATAATTTATTCATTTTCATTTATATTAGGATTATAACAATCCTTTCATTTACCTGCTTCCAACTACACCATCTCCAGATTAGAGCCCTGCCTTTATTTTGTCCTTGTCTGGTTTGGAACCTTCGAGGCTCCCCACTGCCCTCATTGAATGAGCCAGCATATAATTCAAATGCTTCTACAAACTGGCCCCACCCTACCTAGTCACAGTCACTGCAAATTCCAGCCAAACTGGTTGAATTGCCTTCTAAAAGTCTATTCTCATTCCTGCCTTTATCATTCTACCTTTTACACCCTCCCAGAACATTCTAACAAACTGATCAAGGTCTATCCAGTTTAAGCCCTGATTTCTCTAACAAGCTGTCCTCAATTCTGAAGTTTTGGATTACTTGCTTAATCACAAAATGACTTTTATACTTCATGTGTGTTTAAACCACCTTCATATAGTAATTTTCTTAACTCTTTATATTTTCACTGAATGAATCATTTTGAATTCCCAGTGTCCAGCCTTTTGTTGGGGATGCTGAATATGAAAAATAAACAAGGTTTCGGTTGTTATAATCACTTGAGCGGTGTGCAAAAGATGGTCTCTAATTTTTTGTCTTCTACTCCAAAGCCACTGTATATACCTACCTACCTATGCCTTCTGAGTATATTGTTTCAAAAACAGCTCCTATGCAAATGTGAGTACTGCTCATAATAGCAAAAAATTGAAAACAACCTAAAGATCCAATAAACGGCGTGGTTAAATGAGACAATGGATTATGTAACTGCTAAAAAATAAAACTTTTATGTACTGATAGGGAATATCCAAGATATAGATCATCTCTAATATATCCAAGACTATTTCAATGGGCAAAAGGCAAAATGCATTTTACGTTGCATGCTGCAGTTAGCCTATGTGTATGTTTAGACTAGTTCTGGAAAGACCTAAGACTCTGGTGATATTGGTTGTTTTTATGGAGGTGAACGGAGGCCTGGGGGATGGGGAGATTTCACTGTATAACCTCTTGAATTTTTAACTGTTAATGTATTATCTATTTTTTAAAATAAAGAAGATACTATTAAACATATTTTTTATTCAAGGCCGTGGAGTCAAGATTTTAAAGTCACATGCTTCATCATTTTATCTTTTTTTTAAGTCATAAAATGACATTCATTCCCCAACTCTAGACAATGAGTCTGACCACCAGTGAGACTTCAAGGAGGACTTCCAAACCATTATATTATCTTTTTAAGATTTACAGGACAGCTGTGGTCTGAACTGACCATTCCAATTTTTTAACTTTTACTTTTAACCAAATTTTTAATCATGAGTTTATTATTAACATTTGTTAATCCTTAACATTTTGGCCAAGCTATTTAGTACGCAATCCCTTTAACATGTCAGTGATTGTGAATTATTTTTGGCTGCTATTCACTAGTTACTACATCTCTTTTCAAAGCAGCGTTTCCAGAATCCACAGGCAGGTTCTCCAGAAAATGAAGTGCTGCCCTCTGCTGGCTTTCATGATACTGACACCCTGGAATTTTCTACTGAAATTAGACAGGGTCTGTTGGACTAAATTGCTTAGTGAGGGTGATTTTATTCATCAGTACGTACATATCCGATTACATAAGGTTTCTTTAGCATTTAAACAATTTCCCACATTCAAGATAGTTACATATAAAGAAAATCACATTGAGAAGGGAAAAAAAGCAGCATTGTCTGCTTCTGCTAGGAAAATTTCGACCTCAAACAAATCATTTAATCTCTGGTCTGCAAAGACCACAAAATAAGACCTTTAGAGGTCAGCAATTTCCAAGCTTTTATAAAAACTACTGTCAAGAAAAAAAGTCAAATGTTATGTATAACCCAAACTAAGATGCTACTGTTACCAGGACTTTGACTATTATTTAACGTGCGGCTTTCATCTCTTTTACCTGCAGCACTACCTCAGTATCGAAGTCTTTCGACCCCAAAAGGTTCAAATTTCCAAACGAGTACAAAGTCTCGCTTGGTCCCCACCCACCTCCACACCCAATCCAGGCTGATGAACCACAGCCTGGGAATCCATTACCTATGTAATCTCCCTTCCAGGACACAATGCTACTCCAAACACATTGCCAACACTTCCCAAGTTCTCCTTTAACAGTATACTATGAGGCATTATTTTAAACTTGCACAATCTGCTTAGACAACTGGTTATAATTCATGAGAAATTCTGGGACTCCTTCTCTGGGTTGTGTCCTTTAGTAACATTGCACATTCCACTTCAACAGTTAACATTTGAAATTGTGCAACTTTTCAATCGTAAGTAACCCCCAACTTGAAAATGCTAGAACAAATTATTTTGTCACCCATCTATCAATTGTCTGTCTCAGCATTTAATTCCTTTTATCTCTAAATGTTTAACCACCCAGCAAATACTGTTGACAGCCACTATGTGCCTGGTTACCATTCTATACACTTTGTATTGACTCATTTCTCGAGTCTTTAATGTACAAGTCCCAACATTTCCACTGAAGAAAATCAGCTCGGATAGTAACTCCTTGCAAAGCTCAAGGTCTGAACCATTGTAAACCTAGAGGGCTAATTTCTTCATCCAAAATTTTAAGTTTAGCTCCCAGATTTAAGAACAAGACAAATATGAAAACTTGCAATATTGTGGTAAAAGTGCTACCATCATGCATTACTGACGTCAGCACTAATGGGTACAGTAATTTTACTAAGTCCATTTCTATTAGCTTGTAAAACCTACTAAACACCTGTTATTTTTGTAACAGGTACTTTCCTCTTTTTTTTTGGGCTGTGTTTAATAAGAATGCTGACTCAAATTTATATTGTGAATTACATTCACTGAACTTCTAAAAACAGAACACAGTTGACCCTTGAACATGTTTGTACTATGTGGGTCCACTTATACAGATTTTTAAAATATATATATAGTTGGCCCTCCATATCCCCAGGTTTTGCATCTGTATTAGAGGGTTGAATGCATGGTTTTATACTTCATGTAAGGAACTCGAGCATCCACGTAGAATCCTGGAACCAAATCCATGTAGATACCTAGGAACTTAAGTTTTTAAACATAGATTTTCAGCTGCATTTACAGGGGGAACCCCTAGTGTCCCCCACCCTCACCCCTGCCACCGAATTGTTCAAGGGTCAGCTGTTCCACCCTCCTATTAAAGAGTCAAGAGCCAAGGGCTGTCTTTCAAGCTTTTATTTAAGAGTAATGATCCATGATGGATTTCAGATCTTGTTGAAAGCAGCCACGTCCATGGACTGCACATAGTCCTCAAAAGCAGTGATCTGCTCCTCCAGCATATCTGTTCCAACTTTATCGTCTTCTACTACACACTGTATCTGAAGTTTTTTAATTCCATACCCCACTGGAACTAGTTTAGCTGAAAATAACATCGCAAAAAAAATCTTAGTTAGAATCAGTCCTACTGGTTAACAAAGGTAACTATGCAAGTTCCAGATGCCAC